TTTGGAGTAGGTGTAAATGTTAAGAAAGGAATGTTTCCGAGCGGTCCATTCATAAACAGATGTGCCACGATTGGTGATATTCGTGATCCTTTCCATTACTACACCTTCCTTCTGTTTGTGTCTTTCGCTCTGGAATTTAGGGACAGTAGTGTGATACAGCATAATTGAACTCTCGATATAATCTGTTCAATGGTTAGCTATCTCCTATGAGTAATTTTGGGATGATCAGTTACTTCTGCTTTTACTGCTTCTAAGAAGACCGTATTGATTGACATATTATTGTAGATGTGGTGTGTGTTCCTGACAAGAACTATCAACAGCGTTATCAGCAGCATATTGATAAGGAGTGGCCAGTGGCTCTCCCACTGCCCTTATTTTCGGCACTCGAATCCTGTTTGTCTCCTGGCAGTGATTCATATTTTCACGCTGCATGTCTTTGAGCTTTTCTTTTCACTCGTTGGAATTTGGCAGCTCTACTGTGGCCACGCTTGTGTTCGGTGTTTATCTTGTCACTTTTGTTGGCTTTACTATATCCGTGGGTACTGTAGTGTTCAGCGACTTTAATTGCTTAACAGTGTGTTCTTTAATACCATCGATAACAAGGAGAGCCAGAAACGTCGTCTACGGTACGCCATCAAATGTAGGATGCATTTGACGGAGTGGATTCCTGAATACCACCGCCAATACTGGTCTCTCTCTGTGATCGTTCCAGCTTCATGACGTGGGACTGCAACGTTGCTTGCTCTCTATCCATTGGACTGTCGAACTCCGCTACCAACTGTTCAACCAGTGCTTTCCAGGTACTTTCAGCGCCTGACAGATACACACCACCACACGCCACATTGACCCACCATCTCACTCTATCACAGATCCCGACATTCTTCTGAATATTTGATAAAGCTTCCACGAGCAATTCACTGTCACGAAACAGTCGAGCAATACGACCGTGTGTGCATTTATTCAAGATTAACAACAACTATAGCTCAAAGTCATTTCAACAATTATTTTAAGACACCTGTAACGACTAGCTTATTTTTTTAGTACAAAACGAGTTGTGTTAAAGAAATTAATAGACCAAAACTCAACAGTTAGTGTTGATTTGGAGCATAGAAAAATATCTTCCTCACAGAACAGACTGGGTCAGCGCTTTGTTCACACAAATCACAGGCCACATCACTTTCAACTGACTGAGAGACAATCCGTCAGACAAACAGTCGGTCAAACAGACAGTTAAATATCTGAGTGTGCTCAATTCACTCTAAATCACCCTGTGATACAACTCATTATTATTGCGTTGCACAATCACAAAGAGAAGCATTCAAATCGAAGATTGATGGTTAGCGAAGTGGAATCATAACGATCAGGTCGACATTTGATGCGCGGATGTCGGAACGGCAATATTCAGTCTTGGAGTGGAACGCATAATCATAATGATAGTCATACTATCAAGGTTATTCGAGACATTTAAATAATAGCGATTGTTTTGTGTGCATGGTTTAGGAGAGATTTCGCAGACGTTTGTTCCATCGCAGCTCTGTGAATGGGGAATTCGATTTCCTCCTGAAGTGTTTGATATGTCATTGACAAAATCACCTGACGTCAGGAAAGTTGGAAAATTACTTTCACGTTGTACTCAGTTTTTCAGGCGTTTATATGATTGCATATAATGAACTCAATCTGATATGGTTCTTATGTAATTCAAGAAAATTTTCACAACCCATTTTCAGGATACTCGTCATTTCAGGCGTTTATCTCCTTACCAATCACTGACTGTCGTCGCTGGCCAATGAAGTAATAGACACATCTGACTAGATGAGTGAGTCAAGTGTGTTACCAAACAGACATCAAATAGATTACCGATAGGAGTTATGGAGTGTTGAAAAAATGTATCCGCCTGCCTTCGTACAATTTAGGAAAATGCAGTCATGACTTTATATCCACACCTCGAATCCATCACCTCCATGTCAAGTGGTAAGCCTGTGAAATATTCAGTAACTCGGATTTCATTCATTGTTGGATGCACTCCTTCTTCCAGCGAATTGATACACATAGGCCAGTCGTCAGGCCACGTCATCTGTGAGTATTTCGCTTTACACACAACTTGGCAAGACCCACTCACAATGACTACTCACTGCATTTATAAGGTATATCTTCCTGCAGTTGGTGATCAATAATCATGAGATCAGCTTTTATGTGCTGATTTGGTGTATCACATCAAATCAGGAGAATCCCTTTTCTCTGACACTTGTAGATTGAGATATTCATGCACAATTTCGAACAGACATCAATTTGAAACGAACTAAACAAGCAACTTTGTGACAGCGTCCTGTAAAAATCACTGTGCTACCTCCATGCATTGTCAAATTTATTCATGTTTACTCATGAAGCATGTTTCGAATGAAACGGTGTCGCTTCTAATGATATATTATCGGTTATCATATGATTCGAAAATTCTGTAAAAGGAGTGAATACCTCGCTATGCGATCGTCTGCAAAATCTGTTCTGTGTTTCAATGGAATGAGGCTACTATGATTCCGGTTAATACAGCTGATGCTGTTGTTGTGTTAGTTGTTAATTTAGCAATGAGGCTCATTTCAGGGAATTCATTCTCCTGTTTGCTTGCACAATATCATTTATATACATTCTCCTTCATATGAGAGAGTGTGCAGTTACGAGAGTGATCAGTTGTCACGATCGCAGTCAACGATCTCTGTTAGTGTTAGAGAGTCGTCGAGCAAAAATATCACTACCTAATGATAAGATCAATATTTCAGTGAATGGATTGTAATACGCAGTCTCCTAGAAGAGAGGGAATCTATGGAATCACGGAAAAAATACAAGGAATTCCGAGTGTTGTGATGAGTTAGGAATGCAGACAAACAAACAAAAGTCAAGTGGGTGTAAACGAGGAAACTTTACTTTTGCATGGTTGGAGAAGTGGTTGAATACTTTTTTCTCGTATACAGCTATTCGCTTAGTCTCTCTGCCAGTCTCTCTATCTATCTGAATACCTAGAGCCTTAGCAATGCAAAGCAGACGATAGTGTCCTGTTTCCGGAAGGTTGTTTTTCACTTTGAAAATTAATTTTTACTAGTAGTGTTGACGTAGTGTTCAATTACTGCACTTCTCATTGAAACACCATCTACTTATTTTCATTGCATAGAGATAGTTTCCATAACTGGGTCATTGATGGAAAGTGATTCATTGTAGACAGGTGTCAACCAGTCGTCATTTGCATTAATATCTTCAATGCAGTCGATAGGTTAGAGAATATAGCGAAGCGATTACATGCACACATGTTTCCTTATAAGCTCCAGAATATCAACCGTCCATTTTGAAATATAAATGAATTGATTAACTGCGACATTTCCTCCGTTTAATTGTTACCTTGCTGTCATTATTCTGGGGGAATACTGGTACACACTACATCAAAGATCAATACACTGTTGATGACATCGTGGTAGCCTCTGCTCCACTGTCTTCCTAATTTTCTTCTAGGTGACTCCGGTAGATTTTGTATTGAGCAACGCAGAGTCTCCACTTCCGTTTCATCCTTTCTCATCAATTTGCGACGTTTTTATGCCGTATCTCTTTACTCTTTTGATCTGAGGAGACAATTGGATGTCATGACTTGTCAGCCCGTTAATCGGAACTCGAATGTGAAACGACTAGTTGCTGTTAGATCCGACTGTGTGACAAAACAGAGGTCGTGTGAGTGGAATTCGAGGTTCTCTGGGCGATGGCGGAGCCAGATAACGATAACTGCAGATAAGTGGGTGATTTGAAGATGTACTGCTTATACCCTGTTCTCCATTCGGAACCCAGGAGAACAGTAAAATTTAGCAAAAGTATGTGGAAATTCGGTCGATTCTCCATCTCTTCCACTCGGTGCAGAAGAACGCAAACATCCAATCGAATATTAGTGGTGAAACATAGTGAAAGGGGAAATGTCTCACAAGCTGTTAACATTCCTAAGACTATCATCTATAGGTTGCATAACTTAGAAGTCGAAAGTCACAGATGTTCTTAGACACATTTCACTTAGTCAGGTTGGTAAAATGTAACGAATTGTTGATTTATGTGTCACGTCGTGGAAAGTTTTATGAGAAAGAAATGTGCAGGGGTAGCACGTAATCAAGCGAGGCTCTAAATCCTTGTTGTCAATAGGGAAGAATAGGACACTAATGAAATTTCCGTCTTAGCATATTACTCAACTCTCAGCAGTTTGAAACTGTGATTTTCGATATGCCTGAGGCAGTAGGATTGAAGATGACTAGCAGTGGAATCCTGCAAGATGCGCATTTCATCCTACCTGAAATTCATCAGATGATTGATGTACGTGAATTCCCATTGACGGAAGGTCTTCACACCAAGACTACAATTTTCTAGCCATTGTTTTAAATTCTAAACACAACCTGTATCAGTTGATCACTCGGCCAACCACAGTATTCTTTTCTGCGATGACCATCAGAAAGTTATTATTCCTATGTTTATACAGATATGCCTCTATTGAATTTAAAGCAACTTTAATGTTGAGATAAATTGTTTAGCAGTATTATCTTGAAGCAATTCTAGATTTCAGGCTGAATGTTCTGTATCGATTGGGTTTTGTGCAGCTTCACTGTCAACAGTTCAGTGCCCTCTTATTCATAGAATCATCACTCTGATTGTGTGTGGAAAATATCAGACACATCCTGATTTCTGTTTCTCCAACAGATGCTCTATGGCAGTTACACTTAAATGAATAAAACATAAAATTTATCTCAACCCTGAAAACTAATTGAGATGTTCCAACTGAATCCTCAGAGAAAACACTTCAGTTAAGTGCTCTCAACAAAATTTGCTTGAGATGTGAAAATTAACTGTGCTTATTCAAATCTGTGAGGTGAAATTCAGGTCAACTGGAATCACACCATCACTCCCCCCACTCCCAACACAAATACACACAATAAACTGTATAAATACGAAGGATGCTCAAACAATAATCAGTCATTCAGTTGGTGTACTCATTTGGGATGACATTGTTGGTTTCCGTCACTTTCCTGTTGCTGAACTGTTTGTTGAGCTGTAGTGGTAAGTTGATGAGCGAGATGGTTATTTTCTTTGTAAATATCTCTTTGGAAACTGGTTTGATTTGATTTTAAATGCAGAAAGTGAGACGAATTGAGAAGGTCTGTTTCCAGTCAGGTCAACAGATTTCGATGTGACGGTAGATTTCTTGTAATGTGGTAAGGACAAGTGAGGATGTCGACGTGAAATCTTGATGAGATTTAGAGACACATATTTGGGTGTATGGCATTTAAAATTCAGTGGGTAAGTGTCAACAACGTGTTTGCAGTTGATAAATTCCTTTCCACTCACACACCTCATTCGTGGCATAGTTATGAGCAGACGTATGGAAATGTATGCGTTGCATGACTATAAACAACTTGGTCTATGGTAGTGACAGTGTAAGTCTTCAATGCTTGGCCTAATAAGCGTTCTCAATGACTCACAGTTGCCACATCGCCTGCAGCACACAAAGGCAGACAAAAGAGGTAAAACATGGGTTCAAAATTACTGTTTAATGTATGTATTAAGACGATCGCCAGTACGGATTCGTTGGCACGGAACTCCGTAGGCACTGTCAATCTACTTCTCAGACTGATACAACTTCCTTACTTCATTATTGGCTGATGTCAGCTGCTGTAAACACTGTATCTCACTTATGTTATCAGCAAACTGGATAGCTTTCAACTGAACTCATCTTCTTCACGTAGTTCAAACTGCAATCACTCAGGGTTTATACCAGGAATACAGGAAGACGTAGATGTGTATTGCAATCGGTTAAACAATTTCCATTTTGCAAATGAAAGAATTTCCCTGATGAATATTGTTTCACTCAACAGAATACACCTCATCTTCCATTTCTTGAACACCTTATACTTTTATTCATGGCATCATCAGGAATTATATCTCTTCTTTTTTTTCATAAATTCGCTTGTCTTTTAGCTGATTTCAATGCAACATTAAAACAATACAGGGATGCAAACTTTGATAGCCAAGCAACGCTTTGTAAGTATTATGAATTTACATTGAATTTAATTCACTCTATTCTTCACTGTATCATTTTTGATTGTTCCGTTATTTGACAACAGTATGCTCTTCTTTTATCAAAGGCGTATATGGTGTGAGAAGCGGTATGATGCTCTTTGAGTAGATATCTCAATAGGCTTGAGGAGAGATCTGCACCTGATGTATGCAAACATCACATCATACATGGATGAGATGTATCTCAGAAGTGAAGACATTCAACATATCTGAGAACTCAATGATGTGACGTTTCCATTGATTATAACTGCCTAAGTTCCACTGGTATTCGTACATGTTTGCCGAGAAATATATATATATATCCAGTCAATATCACGATTAGTACCTGTTTCTGTGGAAGGCCATGATTAGTGTTGTGCATTGTGGTAATAAGTGAGCGGCAAGCTGTCGAATCCAGCAGTCAAACACATTTAGAGAAAGAGTTGACATCATTTAAAGAATTATTCAAAATCTGGGGTGAACAGGTTAGCTCTCTGTTTTGGTAGTAGTTTAAGAATAATCGTCAGTATTCACCACACTGGTATAATCTTTCAAATGTCTTTCTTTTACAGTTGCGCTTATCGAATCACGTGCTCAATACAACGAAACGAATGTCATAGAACATTTGTTAGGAGGTAGGATTATTGCTTTCTACAGAAAGTTTATACGTTACATTAAACAGTGTATTGTTGTTCACAATATAACATGAACATGAACATGAGAATCCTTCAAATCTATACGTATCACACAGAGTATTCCAGACTTTCTACGATTCTCTTTATAATTCAAGCTGAACGAAGCAAGATCGATGAATGTGCACTGAATTATGAATATGAGATCGCATTTTATGATTTCGAGGATTCTGCTCAACGGACTACAACATTGACATAACAACTGGGATGCAAATCATCCTGAAGTATTCCCTTTTTCTTTTGTCAAGATGACATAGTGTAGTTGATAGGCACGAAGAATAACGTGGGTGAGAAATGGTGTTAGCTATGAGGTTGTTGGAGGTTAGAGAGACTGACAATTTATAGAGTAACTAAATCAATATCTACGACTATAAAATTCAAGAATGTTGAGTATAAATGACGTCTGCGTGGTAAGAGTGCAAAAGGACAATCAGTTCAACAAGTAGAAACAAGAGTGTCAATAGAGATCAGTGAACGTTGGTTAAGGGTGAGTCATGTTCAGATGAAAGAATGAAATTTCTCTGAACACGACAGAAGATGTCGTGATGAAATCGTCCACTTTGTTACCATCAAGGCAGTGTACGTATCACCATTGTCTCTCTTTCTCTGTGCATCAATTTGATTTTAATCATTTCATGGTGACCGTCTCAGCAAAATGTAGCAGGTCATGTTTCTTTCGCCTGTGGATTATTTTCATCGCCTTGCAACTGACTACAATAAGACCAGTGTCGAACAGATTACACGGATTTCATCATGAGCTGACATTAGTTAGAGAACCATTGGAAAACCTGGGAGTACTGGACAGCTGTTTCGTCCTAGTTTGGGAACTAGGACGAAACAGCTGTCCAGTACTCCCAGGTTTTCCAATGGTTCTCTAACTAATGTCAGCTCATGATGAAATCCTGAAATCAATCAAATCCCTACAAACCAACACTTGAAGATTACACGGAATCGCACTTTTCAATACTTGACAGTGAGCCCTTCATTGTCAGCTGTTTCGCGTCATCTTCTGACTTTCCTAGAAACACTGTATACATTCATATGAATATTATTAACCCTAGCTACTTCGTTGGAACGTCACATAAAAGTGCACTTCCTGTGGTTTTGTATTTCTCACACTTTTGTGCACTTTTCCCTTAAAATTTGTTTCCACCTTAAAATCTTGCACTCTATTCTCGAGTGTACTAGTCCAATCATCTAACGAATACTCAGTTAAATTAGCTTATTATAGTTGAATAACTTGCCTTATTCCGGACATGCGTTACTCTTACTTACCATCATTTACTTCCTGTCATCTTGAAAACACTGTCTCCGCATTTTTGATGTAGATCCTTGCGTTTGTAGTTTCCATGTTGTGTAAGTGTGTGTCTGTTTTAATCTTTCTGGCCTCGTTGATGAGTATTCAATCTCTCTCTCAGATAATTCATATTTGTTTGTAAGATGGAACACAGTGACGGAGTGAAGGAATTTACATCCTTCGAATGTGAGGCATCAAGTGTCTTAGTTGAATCCAGTAATTGTACCGTCCACCTGATATGGTCTACACAAATGTTTTATTAATTTAGAAAACCAAAGACTGGATCGTTTATATCAACTGAAATGGATTAATGAACTAATATGTAAGTGAAATTATTGAATCTATTTTTTACCATTGAATTGTTTGATTGAGAAGGGATGTGGTGAGGTGAGGTGAGGTGTATCACATGGTCAGAATCAGCTAGTTAGTCAGTGAATTGATTAGTGAGTTACTCACTTACTTAGTTAGTCAGTTAGTTGAAGGGAAGTTAGTCAATTGGTTCAATTTTAATCAAACATTTATTTCCTTAGTTAGTTAGTTCAAAATTTGTCATATAATTAGTTTAGTTAGTAAGGTATTGCACAGTTTGTTATTTATCTAATAAGTTAGCTAGAAAGTTGAAGGTTAATTATTTAGTTAGTTGAAGTTTATTTAGATAGTAAGTTGTTTCGATGTCAGTCAGTTAGTTAGGAAGTTTAAGTTTAGTCACCTACTTAGTCACTTCCTTAGTACAAGGATGGTTAGTCAGTTTGTTGAAAGTTTTTAGCAGCTATGGGACTGTGTGCCTAGCGATTCTATGTAGGCTAGACATCTTAAATAACTGACTAGCCTTTAATAAATGCAGAGAGATATATGTCGGTAAGAGTTCACCTCTTGCGATGACCAGCTACATCCACGGAATTAAATAGACACGTGCATTACTGACAGCTTACGTCATGCTTTGCTGCATTTCACATTGTTAACATTCTTACTGTTTTACTAATGTCTGCAGAAATCATTCTGGTGAGCATAGCACAATCATATTTCAATCAGTGAGCATACACTGAAATGATGATCGCATTGTGTTCGTTAACTAAAAATCACTAGCGACGATGACTTCAGTGTCAGTTGAAGTTCTGCTAGTAGAATATCAATCGGATTCAGTGAAAACACTGTCCGAAAAGTGTAATCCACACTTGCACACATATTCATGGGATGCCGATCGCTCATCACTTCTTTATTTTGCAAGAATCAGACAATAGAATTGATTCCTCATTCATATACATAAGATTCATGATAATTTGCAACTTTGTTTTCAGCTTCGCCTGTCTTCCAGGCAAACGAAGTGATTAACGCAGACACTAAGAAACGATATGCAGGTGAGTTATTTATTGCATCTGCATGCTCAGATAGGATAACGTGTGGTTTACACAGACGAGGTTTCCGTCTCTTTCTTCGTCTTCTTCTTCTCTACAGTCTACGGCATAATCGCATCAGCGAACACTTGTATGTGAATCTCATCTGAAATATAGCTCACAAATAGTGATCTGGCACTGATGTCACTGAGCCTACACTCACAACCAGCTACATAAAAAACTTTGACTGTTGAGAAGTGGGAACTTTGTCAAGTTTTTTTTATTTTGAAGTCAACTTTATTGTTAATCTGCACTTCTTAAATATGTCAGCATGTGTCTTTCTACGTTATTGCACGATTTTCTTGCTTGTAGATGAGTATGAAAAGGAGAAACGTCTGCATGAATCTACTCCTTTGGACGTAGGTAATTACCGAATTTTCATTCACTGTTATTCTTTATTATCACCGTCGACGCACACACGCAAACGTTGAGTGAGTAACTAATAACACTGACAAGGATGTAATGAGCACACAGTGCGTTTACGCTGTGTTTGACCACTGAAGTGGATATATATCTTCATTCGATGACATCGAATCCATTGGTAGTTATCTCTCATATGTATGCACTTATTCTTATTGATTGCATAAACACGGTCATTGTTTCAATGCATGAAACGGATAAAAAGCATTTCATATGGGTACTTGCATTGTTTAAACTGTGAGATATTTGGTGGCAATCCACACTGTGATATTCAGCCATCTTGCTGGATGGTTACATCACAAACTGGACAGATGGAATAAGCTTTGCAGCTAAATAGAAGACAAATCGTATGAGATTAGTTACTGTCTGGCGTCTTGTGAAAGATGTCAGACACCACTTGTCAGATGGTTAGCGAGTTGATGGATCTTTGCTTTGGCATTAAAATGTGATTTGTTCAGTGCAACACGGAGGCTGTATGAATAATATGATCGAGTGAGTCGCAGAGATTTCTTCAAATAACCCCAAATAATGAATGTCAAGTAGAGAGCCATTCCAACCTCGTTTTAATCCATGGTGGATGGTGACTGGCCATGGAAGTGGAATCGTTTAATCCAATAAATGCCGCCTTTTCGTTTAAAACGTAGAGTATTGGTGTGTATGTGTGCGTGTGCGTGTGTGTGTGTGGAATGGGGCTATCACTCACTCGAGAAACCGAGTGCATACAGATGACCAGTCTCTAATGTGATGACATGTGCATGCTGCATTTCATTGCAACACTTCAAACTTTCACTAATAAAAAGGCTTTCTTACAATAAGTGACTTCGATTAGCAGTTTTCCAGTTTAAATTACAAGAAACAAATCCGTGTCACTGCACACACAGACATTCTCGTTTTCTATTTCTTGTAGAAACTGGAATACTTCAAGAGAAACTCGAAAAGAAATGGAAAGTCAGAGCAAAATTGAATGCTGCTGAAGGTAAAAGAGTCGAACAGTTGACACATTTTCTCCCCACCCTGATATGTATCAGTGAGAATTTATCAGCACTGATATTTGGTAGAACAGTCAGGTGCTGAATGAAACTCATTGTGAGCTGCTTCATTGTAACTCTCACACACACACAACTAATTTTAGGCTCACAAGGCATATGAATACCGAAATTAAATAGTGTCGACTCTTTTTTGTCAGTCAGTCAGTGAGTCAGTAATTATTGTGCCTCCACATAACTCTCCAACTCGGTATCTCGGAAGCATATCGCTTGTGGATTCATTCATTAGCTTTTATGACAGGCTTTGAGAAATCATCTTTGCTTTGGATTACTGTCTGATTCCTTAGCGGGCTACAGATGATAGAGCACACTGTTTGATTTCAATCGGATGCATTAGACTAGTCAATGTCTGTTGGTGATTATTCAGTCCTGAATGTGGGAACATGATTTAACGCTACTAAAATTGAGCGGTACCTAGAAAATCACGTGAACCCCTTATATGCTCTTAAATTTCTTCTAGATGCATACTTAAAATCATCAAAATCATTGGCAAAGTGTGTGAAGAAAGAAGGTGAGTGTTCGAGGTTCAATTTTCACTATCTGTAACATTTTCCATGCGAAATTACAAATTGAATGTGGTGTGCAACTGGTTTAGATGGAAAAAATGATACTCTTAGACAAGGCGCAGTGAGGAGCTATTCACGGTTTGCTTTCACTTCGCTGGAGAATGGATTGTCATCTCATGTCATGTAGCCACTACATTGATGATGATTTATCTGTTACACTTTCACTGTGATTTAGTTTTGACATCCACAGTAGAACTTTCCTCGAAAATAATTTCCACGTTATTTCCCGCTGACGATTTCATCGTGGCGCCTTCATCTATTCACAGAATGACACCAACTAAAAGTGAGACATTCTGAGATGTGGAAAGTTCCAGTGTGTGTGTGTGTGTATGCTAATCGTTTTTTACTGGGAACAATATTCAACTGATCTAAGGATTTCAGATAAATTCAAGTTTATCCTTATCATTTGATGTTGAAGGATTCCTTCTCTCCCTCACTGACGAGCCGTAAGGTCAATAATAGTAGGTTACTAATGGTCAGTTAAATATTTGTCGCTTGATATGTAGTGTTTGTTAACTGGCACAGAAGTGAGGTAAGGACGAATAAGTCAATTCAAATGTATGTGCCTTGATGAAACATTCACTTTTTACGCTCATTGCACCCGCCTCACAATTATCGTAATTCACCCATAACATCGCCTTACTGATTGTCGGACAAATATACTGGAGGGTGCTGATTTTCACGACGACTACACCTAAATACACTATCTACTCAGGTCAAGTAGTAATGAGTGAAAGTGGTGACACGCATTAGATGTCACTGTTTGACACCGACCTATCCAGTGATTCCATCCTATTTGATTATGCTTCTCAATGCCAGGATTAACCGTTTTGTGACATTGAGAGCCTGAATAACACCTGTAATGTAGATGGAAAGCTGATGTCTTGTGCTGATATGTTTCTATGATTTGAGGTATTAGCAGGATGCAGTGTACGTTAAAATGATATCCTACTATACAATACATAAATTGTCAGGATGTATGCGAACCTACACAATATGTCACTTCTTCCGATGATGTGTAGGAAATCTTTTTCTTCACTTAAGTCGAGACAGGTGGAGTTGACGCCACTCATCAAAGTTTTGCATACAACCCGATTATTGTGATACACGTTGGCTGGTAATTGGCATGCCACAATATTTGCATGATGGCCTGGATTCAGTTCAACTAACCACTAAGCACAGAACATGAGTGAATGGCACGACATGAATCTGAAATGATTTGAATATCCTGCATGTTCTGATAAAGAAGCGCATCTCAATAGCTTCTTATGATTGTTATTATTATTATAGAAGTTCCCATGGATTCTAAGTTGAAGATAGGGCCTCAACAGCACGACCCAATCTTGTCATGTCCTGTGTGAACCTGTTCAGCTGGCTGGCCCACGACTTTACATGCTCTGTAATCTCCTCCTCGTAACACATCCACAATGTCATAATCGGACTTACATTGAACTAGATGTCTCCCATTCACGTTTGACTCGAGATATAAAGAGAGAGTTAGAGTAGAGCGAGGCATCAGTCGACGTTTTCCCAAGCCTGTTCTCAATCGATCCTATCTGATATTAGAAAATAACTGCATTCTTGATTCTTCACACTCATTCAATAATCTGATCAATAACGCTGATATTTTTCTCTCCTTGAAGAAAATACACCAGAGAAAGTGAATTTGGCGAGTGGGGAGAAACAAATTCGAGAACTGAAAAGTACGTTTGCAGTTGCAATAATCAACTTGCGTATACGCATATACACGCATATTGTGTGTTGTGTGGCAATCAATCTGTTATAATATGGCGTAGAACTCGCGAAAACAAACAAATATTGTAATCCATGTGGATATTATTCCTGGTAAGGGTGGTTAAATGCACACAATTGCCAATTCACTTCTGATTCAAGTTAGGCACAAATTTGCCCAACCGTGTGATCAGTTTCCGATGCACAGTAGCAGGGTTTACCTAGTCTCAGGTAGCCTCCGAATAAGCAACCTATCAGGCCGACTGTATATTTGTCACCGAATAACTGATGATCTCCCTTATTATGATTGAAGGTACTAATTGCAATGAACGAAGTATAGCACTAGTCATCATTTTTCGTCAAACAGTGCAACAAGTGCGATAAGTATGAAGAACACAAAAGGATAATTCTATTGGTCACTGGATAGTAGCCAAGATGTGATTTGTCTAGTCCTAAGGTTGATGCGAACTGGATTTTATCATCAGTCAACATATGTAATGTGTCTCAGGATTTCATCATGAGTTTACAATAGTTACAGAACCATTGGAAAACCAGCTGGGAGTACTGGACAGCTGTTTCGTCCTAGTTTGGGACTCTTCAGCAGCACGCACCCACCGGGATTCGAACCTAGGACCTTCCGGTTACAAGGGGAGCTCGTATACCATTAAGCCACTGGGACCCGGTCCATTGGTCCTTGAATTCGTGAATTGGCAGAAGTTGGAATTCAAGGTCCATAGGATCGGGTCCCAGTGGCTTAATGGTATACGAGTTCTCCTTGTAACCGGAAGGTCCTTGGTTTGAATCCCGATGGTTGCATACTGCTGAAGAGTCCCAAACTAGGACGAAACAGCTGTCCAGTACACTCAGGTTTTCCAATGGTTCTCTAACTAATGTAAACTGATGATGAAATCCTGAAACCAATCAAATCTCTACAAACCAACACTTGAATATGTAATGTGTCCACGCTATACACTATGCGACTCACCTTCAACCATCTAAGCACAATTTCATGAACTTTATTGAAGGTTGAGTGTGTTAAGACTAATCCTTGGAGATCCGGATGACAGTGAGAACGGTAGAGATGAATAATGATAAATATATATTAATATTTATTAACTTTTATTGACCTCTCAAAGTCAATGATCATGGTTCACTGTATGATTTTTCAGAGGCCGTCAATACGCAGCTTTATGTAATAGTTGAAGCATTCAAGCAATTATCATTAATTCGCAATAATGCAAGTAAGCTACATATAATGAGTGTTTAATGTGTGTTTATGTGAAAACAATATTTTGACTGGTTAAACTTATTTCAACCTATTATATATGTCCATAACCAGGCTCACTTTTATTGGTTTGAAAAACTTTGGGCATTGGGTGGTGGTATATGATATGCATTATAGATAAAGGTGCTTTTGTATTTCCCAGTGAATGAATGAAAAACAAAATGATATTATTGCCTTTACTGACGTTTCGATACTGAATGCTGCTGATAATAGCTTCATCAAAGTATTATTAAACCGGAAATTACAAAATCTCAGCATATATATAACAAAGAGTTAAGAGGTGAGAAAATAGACAAGTTAGGTCAAGTTAAAGGGACATATTGAAAGTCAAAATAACAATGAAGATCACTAAACCATATAACAAAGGTAATAGTGCATCTTTTATGATATCAAAATAAAGTTTACTAACTTGATCATCATTCGTCAGTCTGGGGTCATATTTCGCTGTCAAGTTGGTCAATTGGTAAAGATAACAAATCCAAGTGTAGATGCCTCTTTGATTTTATCAGTGTGTAAAATTGTAAAAGCAGCGTGTGTTTACATAGTGAACTTGCTTATCGCATTCTTGTTAAATTTCGCCACTTCATGGGGGAGATAGGTGTTATAGCCAGGTCAGATTCTGTTTAAGTCCATCATTCCTATTCAGACGATTTGGATTCCACTTAACATAAAGTGCTTCTGATGATATTAGACGTTCTTTGTCATTTCAGAAATGCTTTCTCTGGAGTATTTCAATATTGTCAAAATCAATTTTGTGGCTTGATTCACTAACGTGTAGACCTATGGCTGATGATTTTTCAAGTTTATCTAGCTCAACTGGATTTCTGGGTGGTTGAAGAGAGCCAGCTCTACGGTGTTCATTTCTTCTGATTTTCATTTCTCTAGATGTTTATCCGATGTAGATCGCATCACATTCCAAGCATTTTATTTTATAGTCTCAATTAGATAGAGAACCTCTTAGTGATTTGGTCTTTTATATGGACAAGGTTTCTTTGAAGTGTGTCTGATGTTTTGAAGAAAACTCTAATGTCGAACTGGTTGAGTACTCTTCTGATATCGTATGACGGCTCTGCTCTATATGGAATGACGACTGATGATGTCCATGATTTCGAAATGCTTTTTCGGCCATACTTAATGACTGTGTTGATTTTGTTGAAGACGTTCCTTGGGTAGTTGTTTTGGTTGAGGAGAGTTTCAGTAATATTTGATATTTCTTCTTCTTTTTCTTTCTCATCTTTCTCATCAGAGAGTGTCCTCGTCTAAGAAGACTTGAAACAACTGAAATCTTTGTTATTTGGTTTAGTGATCTTCATTATTATTCTGACTTTCTATACGTCCCTTTAACTTGACCTAACTTGTCTATTTTCTCACCCCTTAACTTTTGTTTATATATGCTGAGATTTTGTAAATTCCGGTTTAATAATACTTTGATAAAGCTTTTGGCAGTAGCATTAAATAGCGAAACGTCAGTAAAGACAGGAATATCATTTTGTTTTTCATTCATTCACTGGGAAATACAATAGCACCTTTATCTATAATGCACATTTCAACCTGTTTGAAGGATTATCGTAGTTAGTGAGTATTCGACTACAATGAATAGCCCTTGATGATAAATCCAGTGAATCACGGATAAGTGAGGACATTACTCGTATCATTAAAGATGTTTTGCACATCATTCGACAGTAGACGAATAACTGTATACTAATAGTGTGCACGTCCTGTCAACAGTCTTTCGTGATACTTCATTCATCACTCTGGGAATTGTCTTATCACTTGGTACGTGCAATATGCAATCTCTAGGAGTTGTTTTGCAGGATTTTGATTTGTTCCAAGTCTCATCATTGAAGTGATGCGGTGACGAGACGCAGATTGATAAGAAATGGCCAACAGCTAAATTAACATTTTGAGTAAATGGCTACGGCATAGATAGAAGTTATTATGAGTTGATCACGGATGGATATCGGTTAGAGAAACATTTGAAATCAGCAGAGAACACTGGACAGCCGTTTCATGCTAATTTAAGAATTGCCGGCAATGCACACCCACTGCTGGGGTCCGAAAACAGGACATTTCGGTAACAAACAGGCTCAGTCACTGGGATCCGATTTAATGGCCAAATTAAGAATTCTAACTTCTACCACTTGGTGAATGTGCGCGACTGGTACCAACTAATATCTCTGGTGGGACATCCATCCCTGGAGTTGACTAAATGCACCTCACGGGTCACGCTTTCATACCAGAACTTCAGAAACTCTGTTCTGCAGAACGTCGCTAGCACCCAACAGAATAATAGGAGTTGAATTGTAAGGAATAGTTTTGTTTATACAAGTTGATCACTAATCCATATCAGTCGGAGAACCATTGAAAACCGGGGACGGCTGTTTCATCATAAATTTGAATCTTCATTCAGCCAGATGAACAGGTTTTGATCAGAAGTGCTTACACTAGCACTCACCAAACAAGATTCGAATCCACTAACTACTGGTTACAGCATATTCTGGTAGATCATTCACTCACCGGGACTCGACGCAGTGATCAGTTTATAAATTCCCACTGGGGCCAACAAGGAAAGTAAATGGCCTTATTTATCCCTCCACTCGACGTCATAGGTCTGAATGGTCACAATCTCTGACTAGAATTGCACGTCAATTTGTCCTGAATTATTTTCATGAGTTATTTCATAGATACTTGATAAGAATTACAAGCTCATTGATATCAGTTGAAGAAGCATTTTCCATTGGTACACTGAATCTCTTAGAATAAGGAATAATTCTTTAGATTTCATCGGATGTATCGTGATACACTTTAGTTGTACATACAATCTCTGCAATTGATTTGTGACAATGTAAGTTCCTAAAGAGTGTTCAATCCAATCGTAGCCTATAGCATTACGGATTCCGTTGAGAAGCTTGACTTGTTTTCCACGCACCATGCACGTACAGCGCCAAACTCAGTAACCATTTTCACTTTGATTATTATTTCAGAATCTACTTTATTAAAAGCGAAAGCTCAAACCGCTTCAGCGAAGTACACCAATGAGATAGGTAAGTTTATTTTCATTCGGCTTCTTTTATGCGACAGTTTTGCGGTAATTTGTGATAAACACCAGGCAAACGTTTGACGTTTGTGTGTAATTTACGTGTCTTTTTCCAGTACTCGAGATAAAGTTGAAGTACTGAGTTGCCTTAATATTCCTTAAAAATTACTTATAAGCTGAACTGGTGGCGGCCATTCAGCTAGCCATCATATGGAACACTATGTCTCAATGCAGTCACAGAGTCAAACATTATGAGACATTCATGTCTCAATGCCTTCCACATCAATTGATTATTCATAGTAAATCGTTTTTATTTCCTGTCCTCCAGATGCACTTGTCAACAAAGTAGTCGAGGTGGAGCGTCAACGATTTCAGTATCTACAATGTAAGTCAATCTGTAATCATAACAGTTTTATCCCCACTTTAGTACTTTGTCCAGATGAAAGAGTGAAAGTCGTAATAGACTCATTGATTGCAGAGGTCTACACACCAACAAAGTACGTTCCTTCTGTGTAATTTGTTTTCATCGTGCAATAATGCAATAATTCATTCATTTACTGAGCGATTGATTAATGAGCATTTAATGACGCTCTCTGCATATCACTAACATGAAAACAGAATGAAATAGTTTGCATAAAGTTTCAGTGAATGCCTCCACACCATCACCATGTTTGCTCTATCAACTCTCACAATACACCGTCATCTTAAATGACATGAGAATGGCAGTTGTATCTGTCTGTACACAGACATTGTTTGTTCACACGAAGGAATGGAATAGACAATTGAAATCATTTCGATATATACATGAAGCCTACAGCTTTCACCTTTCGACGTTGTCTCCTGGAGATTACTGTTGAAGTCGACTGATTCGGCCTGAAGAACTCACTCAAGTGACAACGTCATTCGCTACACTGACGCGTGAGCTCTCCAACTAGCCATCACCACTGAAGCAGAAAATACAAGTTCATGTGTTTACAGTCAAAGTAGAAACTGCGAATGTTCCTACTACTTTTGTACAATAACGCCTCACTTTAATTCCGTATAAGATCGTAAATTCATGACAGGGGTTGACAGAGTGAAGCAATCTGATCAAGTGCTCTAGAATAATGAGCTTCGCAAACACCTTCGTTTCCCGATGTCAAGTCATGATGCATTGTATCCTCCTCTAGTCTACTCTCCTTTCTGGTTCAAACCCCTATATTCCTTGCTGCATAAGAGTAGGTGAACTGTGATAGGCGCGCATTCAGGCGACCAGATGAGTGAGATTATCGCTCACACAGACGATGAAAAACCTACGACAAGCTGATGTGGGTCAGTTTAAGTATTGATGTGAATGTGGTATTCATGGAGTGGTGTGAAACTCAGAACTGTTAATTTAGACGCCTATCAGTCGTTGCTTATTTCTATAAGGCGAACATTATCGCCGTCAAACAGTCACTGGCTGCGGGAAGCAATCTTGCCGTATTTTGCATTGAACATAAATGACATCATTCAAGCAACCGTTCCAAGTCTCCATTCAATGTCATGACAAAATCTCAGGGTTCAGATGACCTAAATACCCTGCTTGAATTGGATATTCACTTATTTATTCACTAAGTCAGTCAGTCAATCAGTCACTGTTGATCGTTGAATTCATTCGCTGTTACGATTAAGGAATTTATGTGTGATAATTAATCTAATTGGTGTTCGATCGTTGTAATTTTTCAGATAAACATGGTCTGCCAGCAATGGATCACTACACTGGAAGAACGCATCTACAATATATTGAAGTACTGTTCAGCATGCTTTCACGATAATTTAATTCTTAACTTAGTAACTCTCTCTTCGACAGAAACATTGGCTGAAATACTTTTCTCTCTGTTTTGTAACTGAATTTTAATACAAATAAATGTGTGTGTGTGTCAGTTTCATAAACTGTGAATTATTTTTTCTCTGAGCAGATGTTTTGTGGGGAGAATGTGTTGTTTAGTGTTAGTTTACCAGAATCTGGTTGGTAGCAGGCCCGCGGATTAGCTTGTATAGGTGGGAGAATATTTGGAAAGCTGCAGAAATTACCATGTGACTTCTTTCTCTTCGTTTGAGACTCGTCAGCAGTACGACCCCTAACGAATTTCACAATCAGTGACTGAATGAATAGCGAGCTCGTCCTGTATGTAACCTGAAGATGACAGAGATTGCCCCTGTGGTGGCCTCTATCTAAAAATTCGGAAACTAGGAGAAATCAGCCATCCAGTGCTCCCTTCTGGTATTCCGAACGCTGATATCAGCTCGTGAATGGATCTGTAACGAGCGACCTTCTCACTAACGTATAAATAAAATGTGTAATTTCAAGTCATTCAGCATGACATTTTGAGTATTCTCCTCCAATCCTAACACTTTCATATGTGTAATAGTGTAGTTCTAATGTACCGGGGCCCTTCTGTCATACTCTCAGTATCAGACAATATGTGTGATAGGGTGAACACAGTTTTCATGTAATGCTGTAGAATAATGAAAGAATCATTCATACTCAAGCTTATTGACGACATGAACCTTACTCGCAGAAAGGCGATCCTTCTTACCGATAACTAGTAACTGTTTTAAATGATATGTAACTGCGATGCTGTCAGCAGCATATTGTGCAGTGTTTCGTATAGTGGACAATGGTTTCTCTTATAACTTTTCTCTTTAAATCTTGAACAAGAGAAGTCCGTGCGGAGTAACATGAATCTGTGAATTAATATAACAACAAAACAACTGGTTTCGATGTGAACAGCACTTGGTAAATCGGTCCCTGTCACATATGTCATTGATTGTGAGCTACACTTCATATTTCAGACTATCGCATAAAAACATAGCACGATTATTCATTATCAAAAATAACCATGCTCTGCAGTAACGTGAATTTCATATTCCCATTCATTATGAAGATCAAATTCTTGTTCGAGTGTCCACTGTGTTCATGAGCCTATCTGTATCAATCCCATGATTTCTTGGTATCCGTTTGTTAGCTCAGCATTCCTGAAGGCGATAATTGGGATAAAATAAATTTTCCACCGCTGAAGATGGATTGATTGACTTGCAGAACTACAGAGGTGTCACTAAGACTTCCGAATTTCATTCCACAAATGAATGTCTCACTTAGATCGACAGATGCTTGGGAAACAGCAGTAACCAGTGAGCAGAGAATGTGTAGGCCTGGTTAACGGATAGGAGAGAGAAGAGGAGGACTATGTTTGAGATACGTGAGACTGCATAGAGAGTGCCAGCACACCCAAGAGAAATAATCGCAGAGAAGAAAACGTAATCATACGGCTATTAAGGCGAAACCGAATATCACAATGAAATAATGAAGTATGTAACGAATGATGGGATGTTTGTATCAACCAGTACATCTCCCAAGAATTGACTGACTTCCCGTATACATGTACGTGATACTCCAGGCATCTGTTGAGGCTGTTGACTGAAGACACCCCTCTGCCATGTTGACAGACAGTGAATTCTATAGGTAGGAAACGCAAAGGTAGGAAATGTTACGCCTATATTTTATTGCTATCCTGTGATGAGCGATGCTGTTAAGGTAGCCTCAAAGATTATCATTATGCTCTTCTAGCGATACGACACGGGATGGATCCACTATGCTACGTACTATTTTGCCTACGCTGAGGTCCCTTCTGCCTCTGTGCAGATTGAGATTTTACAGATACGAAGACGAAGTGGACGCCCACTTCGCCTTCATATCGACGAACATAAGCTAGCCGTCAAAAGACATGATATCCACTCCCTCATGTCACTGCATACAGACAACCACGGACATGAATTCGACTGGGACAACAAGCGGTCAAATATCAGACAGAGGAAAGAAAAAGAATGATAGAGAATTTTGGAAGCCAGTCTGGTATTCCAGTGAATCGTCAATCAATAGTCACATCCAGATGGACAAAATTTATCAACCGATAAGAAAGAAACTTTACACACAAAAGGGTCAAAGTTCAAGTCAAAGAAAACGTCATTTCCAATAGAAGTAACCTAGAAGGTGTGAAAGCACACAAAACAACCAATTACGCCCAAGGTCACTAGGAGAGATGATGAATAAACTCGTGGCGAAATCTAAAAGCTCACTTCAAATTCAAGTATGCGCTGAAGATGTCGGCTAGCTACGGACATTAACCATCCAGCTCAGACAACACAACTAAATCAAAAGATAATGCATGTGTTCAAATGTATACTAATCATCATTTGTAAGTGGTATACAAGTGAATTCGAATGAAAGGACAGCATAGGATATATAGTAAAGGAATTCACAGCTTGATTGTCCACTCTTTCTGAAGGTCTTCAAGTGCAACATGTCTTTCTTAGTGTGAGCATTTCTATCCGGTGAGTTCTGTTTCTTGTGTTGCACTTGTTACTGAGAACTGGTGAACTGTAATATAATGATTGAGTCAATCAATCCAGAGCTAACTAAGCACATGATCCCAGAGTTGCCATCACCATAACAGCTTTGGATTGAGGATTCATTCTTGATTGACTACTCCCAGATAACTTACTCAAAGAGTACTACTGTGCACCGATCGATGTTTCTAATTGTACATTTCAAATATCACGTTTACGTTTGATGAGATAAGAGTAGTCATTCGTCTCCAAGCTACTCTCCTTCATTACGGTTTCATTTATTGAAGAAGTCATTGTGGTGATCACTGTCTTCTCATTGAAATCTGCTCTATAAAGATGTTTCCAATGAATAATAATTAGAATTATATAAACAAAAATAGAAAATTGTTTCAGTTCTTCAATATGATTATGAGCAAGATATTGTGCTCAAAATGTCATCGGGATGATAACCGTTTAAAATAATGAAAGCGGTTTGTGTATACATGATGAAATTTCTTATCACATTGTAGTAAATTCTGTCATTTCAAGGTGGGTGATAGGGTTGGTGTTGTAATCAGGTCAAGTTCTGTTTCACCCTATCATTCCTATTCAGGCAATGTGGATTCCATTTGTTACGGAGTACTTTCGATATGAAACATCCTTTTTGATTGCTGAAATTTTTCTTTATAGCTTCCAAAATTGTCAAAATCAATATTGTGACTCGACTACATGGTGTGTCAACAGATCTATGGGTGATGATTTTTCAAGTTTTTTTTCACATTTCAAACGGATTTTATGTTAATCTAGCCAAGTCAGGTGTAGGGTGTTTATTTCTTCTTATTTTTATGATTAGCAGTCGAGGTTTGTTCAATGGAGATTAATTCAAATTCCTGGCAAGCACTTTTTCTGAATACATTTCGCACCATAATATATGTTGGTGTTGATTTCGTTGATGAAGTTCTTTGTGTAGTTGTTTTGCCTGAGAGCTTCAGTAATGTTTGATGTTTCTTCTTTTTCTTTCTCATCAGATATCACAGAATGTGCTCGTATAAGAACACTTGAAGCGAATAATACCTTTGCAATGATTGGGTGTGATGACCCGAGGTCTAAATATTTGTTAGAGTGGTTTCCTTGTTGAATACATTTATATTGAAATGTCCATTTCCCCTCCTCTCAACTGCGCAGGCAGACACTGGTCACTGTCTCATCAAACGAAACCTACAAAGTGATCTGCAAAGTGGAAAGTAACCCACCTCAAGTGAGACAATGCGCTATTGCCTCCTCTGAACTACTCACACTCTAGCTACTCAGATGGAGAAACTGGAGTGGTGCCCTCATAGTAAGCACAATATCAGTATTTTCAAACTAACTGTTTAATTTATTCTATTGAATATCTCTGACCACTTCTCACTGACTCATGTATTCTCTTGAGCGCTCACGTCAGAGAACCTCCACTCATTTCCATGTTAACCCTGACTACAACCTACACATTTAAGTATATCTCACAATGTGACTCTATCAATCAATCCCCTTCTTCAACATCACAGATGTGTTGTTGATTAATTTTGGCAGATATTCACACGGAGATTCATCCGTTTTTCAATATCCAATTCATCGAGAAGAAACTGCAAGTGAATGCGACCATGTATCAACCAGAGAAAACGTGCTCACCGAAAACAGACTTATCGCTGATCCACTCATCTTGTTGCAATCGAGGTTTGCTTGCTGAAAACAGTGAATGATCTGACACAATCAATATCATATCTGCAGTGTGTTTTCTGTTTTCGTGTTCAGCCTGTTTGTTTTTGCCTTGAATTTAGCTATGTTCAACCACTTTGGAGAATGATGCAGCCTGTGAGGAGCAGACAATCGCTTACATAGACACATGCAAGCACCAGGACACACACACACGACCGAAATGATTTCGGTCGCACGCCTACATACAGACTCACACAGAAACACACAAGACCTAAATGATTTCGTTGGGTTAAATTGCCAGTGAAATTCTAGTCATATATGCAAGTTATACCATCATATCTCCACCAGACATAACGCTTTCAAGGCTTTCATCCTTAGTCCAACAATATACCGAAAATCAATCTTCAATAGAACAACAAATGAAATGTACTCCGTTTTCACCAAGACAAAATCGGACATGAAATGCTCACAAATGATGAGCACTTCATTGTTTCATATGAATATCTCAACAGCTGATAAGTAAATCTCAACATCATTCAATGAGAATATGTTCATTGAGGTGAGTGGCTGAATTTATATCACAATCGGTGTGAAATTTCTGCTTGACCTCATAAGGTCAAATAAATGGAGTGAAGTGAGTGCCTGATTAGTTCTAGTTCTAAGATGGTGGAGGTTGGGTGGGTGAATAGAGTTCACATAGATTTCACAGGCTTTTACAATGGTGGATAGAATAGAGTGGATTATATAGCAGCGTGTGTTCAGGTCACTTGAGTGTTTTATGAGAACCTCGAGAAGGAGATCTGAGAGAATCCGATCCAGTTAAATTTGAGATTTTCGTGGAATAAATATTTTTTTTATTATTTAAT